CTGGTTTCATTTTGTGCCCTAAATGCATCTGTCAAATAGGTCGATTTGGGATCCATCTTCTAAATACATGTGCATCCCTTATAATGGCTGCTAAATAATGCAAGGTTAGCATACAGGAAATTACCAGGCGATTTTTCTGGGAAATGTCTAGATTCCATCCGTGACTGTCCAGATATTGAATGTTGCCTGTTGGAAAGCGGCACTTCTGAATTGCTGTGGTTCTAACGGACCATGTTTTACTTTCAAAGTTACAACAATGGTTACAGTTCCTCTAAAGTGCTTTTCCTACCTTTGAAATGCCTGTTTTAGGTGATTTTTATTTCGATACATCTTTAGTAATAGGTCCACAGCAATAAATAAAACAATTTTGGACTTCTTTTCTTTCTTCCCATGATTGTCAACGTTGACCACATTCGAGATGTGGAAGCGGGAAAATCATATTAACCAGTAATTAACACGTAATGACAAATTTATTAACCGTAATAAGGAATTGTTCTCGCTTTTGATCCGACAGCTGCAAAAAGCATGATTAACTGTTAACAGGTGAATAATTAACTGATCATAAAGGCATAATAAATTATATATTTTTCTATTAAAGCAAACAAAAAAAATCTTAAATTCATGGCAGAGACATTATGGGTGGGTTATGAGTTTTTGTAATGCTATTCTGAACAATTATAAGATACTTATGGGGCTTTTGTTGATGTTCTTAAGCTTCTGCAAACTGAATATAAGCTCTTATAAGTGTCTTATAGTCTGCTATTAACCGTATGATAATGTAATTATTAACACTTGTATAGGCTTATAAACACAATCAAATTAATAAGCATGTTTTAAGGACTTACAAGTGCCTTATTACCTATTAATTAATAGGTAATAATGTGTTATACTTGTATTTTGCTGATATGAGAGGGTATACTATGGAACCAAAGGGTAAACTTGTAAATTTGATTTCTCACTGCTAAAAACTTTGCGTTTATAGTTATATACATCTATTAAATCAGCCAACTGGTTAAACTTTAAACATGTTTTGACGTCACGAAGAGTTGCATGACAGAAAATGTTGCTTCTGAATTCAGACACACTAACTAACGGTTGTCTTTGGACCCGATTACCAATCGATACCAATGCATAGTTCTAAGGTTC